CAAACTCAGTCATAAACACTCACACTCAGACAATCAAAATGTTACCGACCCTATTTTAGCTACCCTACAATTTCTTGCTGTGAAAGGTGACTAGCCTGATGCTAGTGGGAGATCACTGCAACAGGCTAGCTGTTAATCTTTGAGAAAACAAGCTAGCAAGATTTTCAGGGTCTCAGATCAGTGTAGATCATGAATGCAGACCAGTTTGAGGAGATATCTAACTAATCAGACCACATAGAGTGGAGGGTCTGCATACTGGCCCAATACTGGTCTAGGTCTCTGGAAGTTACTAATATGACCCTTTCCGTGAAACTGTGGGCTATTCCTCTGCAGCTGCTACTTCCTAGTTAGTATGTCTCCACTATGACTTAAGAATGCTTTTGTTTAGTTGGTTAATTGTTTTTTTTTTTACTTTTTAGTTATATTCAAAACCAAAAGAAATAAAATATCAGTAATATGATGCAATATTCATTAATTAGAATAGAATTATGCAGATAAATTATTACTGGTAGTTAATACATTTGCCATTTTCATATTGTTAGTTTTGTATATGGTCCTCTGGGGTTCCGTTGTCATGCTTTGAAGAAGAATAAATCCTTAAGGATCTTATCTTTCACTGAAATACATTTATAAAAAGCACAGCTTCAGCAAATCATTTCATTTTAGAGACACAGAATTGCTAGTCACAGACAGTGTGTAACTGCTACGTTAGCTCTGTTTTATTTAAAGGATGCAATTTGAATTTTTTTTTCTCTTTATAAAATATCTATCACTGGGCAGACTTTTTTAGATTTAGAGAACAAGGATGGAAAATATTTCCTTGATAAGTATCAATGTTTTTCTTGTTGGAATTCAGGAAATGGAGAAATTTAAATATCTATATTTTGTGATAAGTTTCGGGATTTATATCTCCAATATGTTATTTTGCTCTCTCCTTATGTGTATTATCAGAACTGAGATGAGTCTCCATGAACCAATGTATATTTTTATCTTTAATCTGATCAGTAACGGGATGTTTGGGAGCACAGCTTTTCTCCCCAAGTTAATGATTGATTTGCTTTCTGGATCCAAGACCATTTCTATCCACAACTGCCTTGTTCAAGCATTTTGCATACAATGCTACGCTTGCACTGAAATCTTTACGTTTACTGTTATGGCTTATGACAGATATTTAGCTGTTTGCTACCCTTTGAGATATCCAACTCTAATGACAAATGGAAAAGCTCTGAAATGTGCAGCTTTAACATGGATTGTGTCCTTCACATATGAAGCGGTGGTTGTGATATTGACTGCAAGACTCACTTTATGTGGAACAAACATCAACAATGTCTATTGTGAAACACTGTCTCTCCTCAAACTGGCCTGTGGTGATATAACTGTAAATAATATATTTGGAACTGTTACTACTCTTTTTCTTATAATTGTATCTGAAATGATAGTAATTTATTGTTACATTCAAACATTTACTGTCTGCCTGAAGATCTCCAAAGATGAATGTCAGAAAGCCATCCACACACTGGTGACCCATCTCATTGCATTTTCCTTATTTATGGGTGCAGTCATTTTTATTTCATTTCGTCACAGACTTAACATTGGTGCTTTGTCCAACAATTTACACCTTGTTCTGGGAGTAGTTGGACTCACAATATCTATTACTATAAACCCAATCATATATGGAATACGGACAGTAGCTCTCAGAAGCAAGATGATTAATTTTCTCCATTTGGGAAAGATATATGTCAAGGACCAAGCACACTGAGACCAGCTGCTTTTGTAATCACTATTAATTACATTTTTCTAATGGCCTTAAACCTAATTAAGACCTCAATTTAAGAAGCTTTCAAAAGTATTTAAGGTTTATGGTTAAACTTTCAAAATTATATTTTCAAAATATTAAAATATAAAAAATCTCATTCAAAATTTCAATTAATCAAAAAAATTTTATTAAATATTCAAATGTTTTTCATAATATTAAATAATGTTCAAAGGGTTATTTAGTAAAGTAAGAATTTAAAGTGATTTAAAAATAAATTTTAAATTTAAATTCAGAGTAGCTGAACTGTAAGCATAGCTAAGTGGTCTGGGTGCAGTAAGTGCCCCTGTCGTCTTAACCCAGCAATGTAAAACACTGCGCTTTCAGAGAAACTGCTATATTTAAATTGTAAGGTTTAGACTCTACTGGTTGTTTTCCATACAAAAACTAGAGGTGCTTCCTGGCTTCTAATGGAATTTAACTCTGTGAAATGATGTTGGACATTGCAGCGGACCGCGGTAACCAGACCAGTTACAGCCGCTAATTCCTTCACTCAGCCACTCTGGAACCAGTAAACTAAGCATACATCCATTCCCCCAGTAATTAGATGAAACATAGTCCTGGAAGTCAACTGCTTTAATGTATACAAACAGTCTTTTTATACACAGACGCCTGTCTCCATTGTCTTCACCACAAGGGAAAGTACCAAACCAGGGGCACGCAGGGAAAGCTGTTAATGGTGGCTGGGCAGAAAGCTGTTAATGGTGGCTGGGCAGAGAAACTCCCAAACTGTGTCCCAGACTTGGACCATAGTTGGTGGGTAGGAGGATGGCTTCTACATTCCTCCAGAAGTCCATGGCAAATGTACATGGGAAGGAGCATCCTCAGACATCCTCAAGCTTTGCATGTGGATGTCCAGATTATTTAAACTACTTTTAGGAAAGCTATGATTCAATACTTTCGTATGGGGAAGCACTAATGCTCATGCAAATTGGTAAATCATTACGTTCTATATTACAACTATTATGTTCTATGTTCTATAAATGTTTATGTGTTTAAGTGGGATTTATCTTAAACTGGGCCTTTTTGGAAAGCTGTCTTGTTTTCTACTAGCTTCTCCTTCCATTATCCTTGGGAAAAATAAAGTACCTGGTGTTCAGTGTATGGTTTTAACAGGAATTTGTTGTAAACAGCATCACAAAATGATTAAAACTGGAATGGTCTCTCTTAAATTTTAAATGGAAATATATACCTGGAGTTAAAATATACTACAATCCCTACATAACTTCTATTTCATGGATAATCTACTTTCTAATATTAACCTTTTCAGGAATAAAACATCAGGAATTCATTATAATTAGAGTTGAGCAGACACCTGGATGTTCGGGTCCGGCGGGTTTGGCCAAACTTTTGAAAAAAGTCCGGGTTCGTGCTCGAACTTGACCCCAAACTTGACCCCGAACCCCATTGAAGTCAATGGAGACCTGAACTTTTGGGCACTAAAATGCCCCTAAAAAAGTCCTGGAAAGGGCTAGAGGGCTGCAAAAGGAAGTAAAATGGGGGTAAGAGTAGGACAAGTGCCCTGCAAACAAATGTGGATAGGGAAATCACTTAAAATAACATAGAAATTAAAAATACAACTGAGCCATAAAATAGAACTAGCTTTGAAAGAACATAAATCAAAATCTAAAGCATGGCTGTCAGAAGGATCACCAGAATTATCCATTTGAGAGAGGGTTGGAGTGCAGGGTATTCTCTTTGGTTGTTCAAACTGAGCATAACTCCTGGTGCATGGAGAAAAGGGTCTTCACAAGCCTCTGCTATTGTGTACATAGTTTATACTAAGTGACCCATAGGTTGAGGAGGCGGTGACCGTGGCGGTGTAGATGGAAGCGGCGGTGGAGGAGGTAGCCAACACTGTTTTATATATATATATATATATATATATATATATATATATTAATTAGGGTATCCCCAAAAATATTGGGACATATAAAAAGATACATTTGAGGCCTGCGGTGCATTTCTTGCAGTCCTGATGCATGGAGAAATGCTCAACTCCTGATGAATGGAGAAAAGGCCTTCACAAGCCTCTGTTATTGTGTACATAGTTTACACTAAGTGACCCATAGGTTGAGGAGGCAGTGACCGTGGCAGTGTAGGTGGAGGCGGCGGTGGTGGAGGTAGCCAACACAGTTTTTATATATATATTTTAATTGGGGTAGCCCCCAAAATATTCGGACATATAAAAAAAGACAACTTTGTTCAGTAGAGCAACTGACCCGTGCGTGCTGCAGCTGAGACTCCACTATGCTGCTCACACAGTCTCATAAGGCGGTGAGCGGGAAAGCGAAGTTACGCTGCAGCGCAGACAGGCAAGCAGCAGCAGGAGATGAGGAGGAAGTGCGCAAGAAGGTGTAACGGCGCCTGGCATATACCCGAGAGACACCCTCAGAGCAGATTGTCAGCAGGATCTTTTTGGAGGTGCAAGCCTATGCCCTTGCCAATAGACAGAGGGCGACCTCCATGAACCCAGATGAAGAAGGAAGGGAGCAGAGGGCGCCAGGAAGCACAACCACCCTGGCCCACAAGCTACCATACAATGCCTTCAAAGACTTCAAGGAAGCAGAAGAAGGCATCAATTACTTTTTACAAGACTTTGAGCACCAGTGCCTTCTCCAAGACATGGACCCCAGCGACTGGGTCACCATCCTGGCCAGCAAACTAGTAGAGAAGAGCAGATCAGAGACTATCCCTTTATTACCCAAATCCACCTGGCCCAGTATGCGGTCACCCCCGAGCAATACTGTTGAACATTTAGGGAGACCCGGAAAGGGGAGAAGGACTCCTATGTGGAGTGGGAATGCTGCATCATAAGGGCCACCCAGAACTGGCTCAACTCCCATCAAGCCAAGTTTCCAGGGGAGATCACCCAGCTCATCATGACTTTTTCAGTGGGGCTCCCCAACAACACGGCTGGTGAGAGACTGCCAGCCCCAGCCCCAAGAAGTATTGGTAAGAGCTGCTGAACCTAGATCATGATATCCCCTTGGCAGGGCATTTGGGCAGGAGTCAGACAGTGTCTCGGCTCACCCACAGCTTCTTCTGGCCAGGCATCTCTCAAGATCTGAGGCATTACTGCCAGATGTCTGCCAGAGAGTGGGGAAGAGAAGGGACCAGCACAGGGCCCCCGTCCATCCCCTACCTATTAGTGAAGATCCGTTCGGCAGAGTAGCTGTTGAAATTATAGTTGCCCAGGCACTTTGTTGACTCTAGAGAACCTCGGGCCAATCGCACGTCCCCGTGACGAAGACTTTGCATTCGGATGTCATCCATATCAACTTTTGATGCCAGTTTCTGGTGACCACGGATAACGAGGAATCAGGGTTGGATAATGGAGAGGGAATCTGAGAAACGGCTACCACATGCAAGGAAGGCAGCAGGCGCGCAAATTACCCACTCCCGACGCGGGAAGATAGTGACGTCAAATAACAATACAGGACTCTTTAGAGGCCCTGTAATTGTAATGAGTCCACTTGAAATCCTTTAACTCTGATCAATTGGAGGGCAAGTCTGGTGCAGAGAGACTGACCCATGCGTACTGCAGCTGAAACTCCACTATCGCCTGCTGCTGCTCGCACAGTTTCTCCAGCATGTGCAAGGTGGAGTTCCACCTTGTGGGCACGTCGCATATGAGGCAGTGAACGGGAAGGCCAAACTTACGCTGCAGCGCAGACATTCGAGCAGCATCAGGGAGAGAACGCCGAAAGTGCGCACAGCGCTACAGTGAATGTCACATCCTGTTTCAAGTTGTGGATCAGTCTGGTGATGGCTTCTGGTATCCAGTACTCTTTTTACTGAAGCTGCATCAGGGTCCTGGTATGTGGCTGCACAAACGCTGGTGCTCAACACCAGGGGTCGTGCGGCTACTCTGCACCAGACCCTGCTAATCGATTCCACACTGTGACTCCTAACTTCAACATCAGGTACACTGGGTCCCGATCGTCCGACCGCCACCCAGACTCCTGCCTGGGATACCTGCAAAAAGCGGGGCAATAGGATGTACAAAGCCCAAGAGATCAGCATTCAAATTCTGGGGCTCGAGGCTCTGTACATCCCCGGAATTAGTTCTGGGGAGTTGCTTGATTTACTCCGGCGAATTCAAACTTTGCGCCTAAACCAACAACAGCCAATATCCTGAAAGGCCGCTAACCAAACTGCCCCAATCAGCATTCGGGGGAAAAAGGAGTTTGGCTGCCCAATCCAACGAAAGGGCGCGAAACTCGATTAAGCCAATCAGCGATCAAGGAGAAGAGGGGTTTCGTGGCCAAATCAGAAGAAAGGGTGCAAAATCCGATTGAACCAATCCGCTGAAAGGCACAAAACCAATTAGCGCCAATCAGCGCCTGGGGCCGAGAGGGGTCTCGCCGCCCAGTTAGATGAGAGGGCGCGAAACCCTGATTGACCGGGCGCTCCTGCTCTGATTTGTTGCCGATACCCTGCAATGCCCTGCAATCGGCCAGCGGGAGCTTGCAACCGTGAGACCGACTCACAGCTCCAGAGATTCCCAGCTAGCGTGTGTCCCTCTCTCTGGTAGATACCTCCTTCAGGTATACACTGGAGAGAGCTTTCTCCTGGGCAGCTTTGCGCCTAGCCTCGTAGCGGCCAGGTAGGGGGTTAACAGTGATTATAGCTCTGTTGGGGAGCAGGTTGGATGACCCCCGACATGGGGATCGAAGACAGTGTGCATAGACCTGTTCAGGAGAAGAATGCTCCTCTTGGTGGGCGTTTGGTGATATGAACTGGCAGCCACCCAGGGGAAGCACGTGCCGCTTGTTCCCTTGCAGTCTGCGGTTTTCACACCTCGCTAGCCAAATGTTCTAAATGGAGTATCGGGGTGGTCCAGCGCACGGGGCTCTGTGCGCCAGATTGCCCCCTTCTGGTTTAAAGGTACTTTGCAGGATTTAAGGTAAATGTTTATAGGAAGGGAGAAGATTGCCAAGGGAACACACATTCCAGGAGGGCACATTCACACATAAGAAAAGGGCAATTCACAGTTAGGCAGCGGTCCCGCCACACAGCTCCCCCTTAAGCAACAACCAGCATACACTAGTGAGAAAAATAACACTCAATGTGCAAAAACCAGGTATAGGTGATATTACCCCTGTCACACACAACAGTGTATAATGCAACACTAAAAAAGCTCAAAGGCTTACCCATACTGCATGGGACGTGTTCATATATTTGCCGGAAAAACAAAATATAAAGAAATACACAATAGTACAATATCATTTATCAATTAATATTAAGACAGCAAAAAGTTAAAAGGTGGAATGCTCACAAGTCAAGAGCCTTTTCAACATTATAGCTCTGAACGTACTTGCTTCCTGTACCTTTGAGGTAGCAACAGAGACCTTCTTGCTTGTACCCCTTCACAGACTCCAGTGTAGTATGTGCATACAGGAGACATAAAGTGCAATAAACAATAGCGTAGGATTTTGATAAAGGTTCACAACTTAATAGTTAAAAAGAAGTTGCTCACCTGGTTTTGGAGCCCATAGAATACTGGCTCCAAGTATGTGCACTTGCATGCCAAACTATGGAGTGGCAAGAACCCCCTTTTAATGTGGATGGATGGAAATAAAGTTGTAATCCAAGAGGACTTTATATTTAAATAAGTTTAAACTTTATTATATTACAAAAAAAATATATAAAATACTCCACTATGGAGAGAAAAACAAAGTTGATCAAAAATAAATATGTGTAAACATACAAATATGTAGTCTTCCTGGTGTCCAAGACGCGTTTCACTCGCTGTGCAGGTTTTCTCAATCGGTATGTTGTATCCATCCTCACTTCTTGTTATAAAGGAATGTCCTTCCTTTATTCGTCCAATGAACTGTTTGTTCGGCAAGGGGTGGTGTAGAGCCATTCAGGTGTTCTGAATGATTGTTCGTTTGTTCATTCGTACGAATGACGAAAATGACCTCACGGGCTAAGTCCTCATGTTATGTGTTTGCCCGTTTGTTCGTATGAATAGCGGAAGTGACGTTCCTAAGCAGTCACTTATATCATTTGTTTGTACCGATGGGAAAAAACTACTATACCCATCGGTCTTTGCGCTCATATAGCGCCATACATTGTTCAGAATACGGCTTTAACATAAATGCAAAGTGAAAAAAAGGGAAACAATTATGTATCTTTACACTACAAAACAAACCACAATAATAATTCATGGTTACTGGAATTTTTGGGGATTCAGAAAGTGTGTACTAATTGGAGGGGAGGCGACATAATTAAAGATTTAGGCCAAACCGAGATGAGGTGGATTTTTAATTTGGATGCCATTACCCTTCGTGGTTTAAATGTGGATTTTGAATTATGACACTTTTTATAATTGTTATAATTTTTTAGCAGATATATTTGTATTCATAATTATTCGAGAACAATTTTTCTTATCATTATGAATAGATTACTAGGCAAATATAGTATTGAACAACTCAGAGACCAAAAATCTTTTATTATAATGGAGACCCCATATTAAATATTCAGAAGAAAAAAAATATAAATGTGTTCCCTCCCTGAAAATAAGTTATGCAGCATACCACCATATTTTGCTTTTTCTAAAGTTGGTTTTGTGTTTTTTATTATTGTCTTGATCATATATACGTTTGAGGAATTACTTTGTATAATTTTTCCTTTCCTTCCCCTTTTTTTCGCAGGAAAGGCCTTAGGGGAGGCCATCAACCTACTCCACAGGATGGGCGGGATTAGCAAACTTTTGAGGTGGAGGACCCACTGTGTCATCTCTGAGGAGGTCTTTAGGGTTGAGGCCTCAATTCCATAGGGTTCAAGATCTAGTTGTAGATTTCAATTGGGAGCAAATCCAGTCTCTGCTGAAACTGTGGAACTTCTTAAAGCTGTCGAATGGTGATCCACTCATTAATGTGGAGTGCTGTTAGGCTTAAGGGGAATCCCCACGTTTGTGGAGAGCCTGTAGGCCTAAGTGCTCTGCGTGCCTATTGTGTCAAATCATTGTAGAGTGCCTCATTGGCTCCCCGGAAGCTCCAAAGCTGTTGTGATCGGGCCTTACTCATGATCTTCTCCTTCATATGAAATGCACTGGCACCTCTCTCAGAATGAAGTGGAACAGGGAGGACAGAAAATCTTCAGCTTTTTCAGCCTTTTTAATTGTAATGCCTCGGACGCTAATATTGCACCGGAGACTTCTCTTGTCAAGTTCCTCCAACTGTTGTCTCAAAGGCACCTTGCCTTTTTATGGTATTCACAGTAACTTGTGCCCTGTCAATTAAATACTGCATCTGAGACTCGACAGTAAGGGGATGAGGGAGGTGAAGACATGATCTCTGTGTGAAGTACCATTTGGTGTCTTCGGCCTATTTGTTTAGCTTGCTGTATATTGTGAACGCTAGAAAAAGCTATGTGATTCGGAGCTTTGGTTTCAAGACACACACTTAAAATTATATATTGCACTTTTATCTGTCTTATTTGTGTGTTTTTTGATGATCTTTTAATGATCATTGTACGATTTTACATACAAGTTGAAAAAACAAAAGTATGTATCTATGTATTTATACACCACACTGTAGGGGTATTCAATATCACATTACTAATGCACTAAAAAAAAAAAAAAGGCGTGGTTAATCACCTCCTGTTGTAACACATTAGATTATACATATTTTTGTTCAGCAAAGTCTCACGTTTACCACAGTACACCCCCCACACCCCCCCATATACATGTTGTATGGGGTTTTGGAAAGTTAAAGTGTCAAAAAAACTATGTTTATTTACATATTTCCATATGGCAGACCAGAAATCTAAATTAGCCATGTTACTTAGTCATGACATACCATTTGCAAATGTAGAGAACCCAGAGTATTCAAAATGGGGTATGTCCAGTAATTTTTAGTAGCCACTTAGTCACAAATCTTGGCAAGAATTAGCATTAATATTAGTTGTTTCACATAAAACAGCAATTTCACTGATCGTGTCATCATTATACATTTTACTGCTCAAAAACACTCATTTCTGTGTTCAGCAATGTCTTACAAGCAAAATAGTTTAGAGTACGGAGTCCAGTTTTCTCGATTTGTTTGTTTTTGTTTCTGATTCCCAGAAAGGATAGGACCACTAATTAGGCTTACCAGTCACTGGGCAGTATCTCAATTGGTTCTGTTCTCAAGGACAGTAGTTTCTACATATGTGCACTTGTTATCAGACAGATCAATTTTCATCTTAATTCCCCAAATGTCAGCATTTGGAAGCTTTCAAATTAATTAGCACACAACATTTTTTTGAATGAAGTGAGACAAGTTTTCAAATACATTTGTTCCCATAAGCATAGCAAAGTAATGACTTATCTCTTATCTCGCAAGTGAAAAAATTAAGTAAAGTACTTTTTTGAACAGCCTGACACTTTTCTGCCATATGATGATTACTATAAAGGATGTTGTGAAATGTA